TTTCCTGCCCAGGCTGGCTTTGAACCTTGATCCTCAGATCTCAGCCTCCTGAGTAGCTAGTATTATAGATGTGAGCCACTGGCACTGGGCTTCCTTATGGCTTACAGGTGTGTCAGTGAGACCAAAGAGGACATTCTTAGGAGAGGAACACAAAGGTACAATGCCTATGTACATCTGATCATATAAAATAATATGGAAATAAACTCCAGGAAAAGGAAACAAGGTTTATTTCCTTCCTTGCTGTTTTTATTTTCTTTGTAATTGTATTGTTTGTTTATTTATCTGTCTTTGGAAGGGTAAGAGGAGACACAGCAATGGAGGGACAAAGAGTTAACAAATGTAGCAATGGTACTCACTAGACATTATGTTGAAAATGAACTATACAACTTGTGTGTGGGGACGGGAAGGAAAAACCGGGAGAGTGAGGGAGGGAGTGACATTGTTGAAAAAGAAATGTATTCTTTACCTGACTTACGTTAACTGTAACCTCTGTGTATATCAGCTTTATAACAAGAATTTAAAAATTCCAAAAAGAGATAACTCAAAAAGAAAAAAAAAAGATTACTGTTGTGTGCCACCAAGTCTGGCTGCTGAGTGCTTGAAAAGGTGCTTTCCCATACTATCTCGACTGTCCATGCCTCCCAACCATCACCTCAACTGCCATACTAAACCTGGACAAGTGAAGTCTACCCTGATAGTTCTTGCTCAATGATGCCTGGATCACTGCTCCTTCTAGTTCTTCCAGCCAATAAGACTTCCAGACAAGACTTCACAGGTAAAGAGTGGTGGCAGAGCTGTTTACCACCACTATCTTAAGGGAAATCTTGAAAAGCCTAGGTAATTCCATTGATATGACACATTTATTATACATTTACTTGTTTGTTTTTTTTAAGCATAGGTCTTCTCACCTCCCAGACATAGTTAGATGTCTCTACTTCTATAGGAGAGTTCTTTGTAACAAAGAATTATAAATACATTTTTGTAACAATAAGAATGTTTTTCACAAATTTCCATTCTCTAAGAAAAACAAGTGACAAAAAATTTAAAATATATTTTGAAATGAATTCAGGCATGGTGAGTGGTTCAGACCCATAATCCTAGCTACTCTGGAGGTTGAGATCTCAAAGTTTAAAGCCAAATCGGAGAGATTACCACCTCCAATTAAACAGCAAAATGTCAGAAGTGGAGCTCCATTACTGGTACGTGCACCATGCACACACATATTCACAAACAAATTAGAAATAGTTTATGAGCTGCTGTCCCCAATAACGTGAGTTTTGTGAATGAAATTAATTTCTCCCTAAATGAAAATCTTAAAGATCCTTACCTTGCCTATTCTATGGGTTAATAGCAGAATAACTTAAAGACAACTTAAAATTGTACTATTTTAACGTTTGCTCTTTATATTACAATAGAGAGGGAAGAAGTAATCAAAGCCATTTTTATTTTGTTATAACTATCCTGTTTGGCCCAGGTTTGTAGAAAGATATGTTTTTTACAAGGTTTTATTGCACAGAATGATCATAACACATTATATGAAATCACCTTCATAAATTTTGTATTAAGGTAGCACTGTCTGTACCTGAAATTGATTCAAAATGCTTACGATACTCAATTACTTTTTAACACTGTTACCCAATGCAGTGACTTATATCCTCTATTTCACAAGAATCTGATGATGCGACATCATTGTAATTGATTCATTTTCTCAATTAAATAAAGCTACTGTGCTTTCCTTTATATGAATGCCACATAGACCATAGAGTTAGATGTATTATCTCCTTTCCCCTCTCTCAGATATATTGCCTTAAAGGCTGTATTCTGTTCCTCTGTTAATTCCACCAGAAAATTTAATACCACAGTCATATTTTTCAAATTCTGAACTGCCAGGCAGTTGACTATTTATATTAGGCATATTTTTCATTGCTAAATGCTTTGTTGTTTACCTTTTTCAAGATCACATTACTACATGGGTGCAGTAACCATAAAACAAACCCAAACAAAGTCAATCCCTAGTCATTGCCTCTGCTTTTGCACACAGTTCATGAAAAAGTGAAGCCCATAGTTTTATAGCACATTAAAAGTGGTACGAAAGGTATTCAATATAAAATGTTAGCTTCATGAATGCCCATCTTTATTCTGGTTCTGCCTTCCAAATGCCTGTGAGAGCAGAGTTCAGAGGAATACAATAATATTGTTAGGGGTGATGGATTGCATGCACCTAGCCACATATGAAACGCTTTTCATAACTAACTTGTCCAGGCCCACATTCCTACGTGTGCATTTTGCTTGTGAGGGGTGGTTTCTATGTCTTACTAGTACTTTGAGACAATAAACAGTATAATAATTGCTCCAGACATAGTCTTTGCTAATCAGCCTCTAGAATTAGTAGTGTTTCACTAAGCAAATTAGATAAACCTCTTCCCTCTTCTATGCATAGCTCTTCTCCTTTGGTCAGCCATTCGATCCTAGATTTAAAGCCACCCTAACTGAGAAGAGTTATCTCTCATTCTGAAGGAAGAGTTCTTTATTTGTTTGAATGGGGAAGAATGACATCATAAAAGGCATCCACAAGCCAGCTGCCAGTGGTTAATGCCTGTAATCCCAGCTAGTTGAAAGGCTGACAATGGGAGGATTGTGGTTGGAGGCTACAATGTGGCAGAAATATTCATGAGGCCCCCCTTCCAAACCTCCAACTGGGCACATGCCTGTCATTCTTGCAATGTGGGGAAACCTACAACAGGCAGATTGCTGTCTAGGCACAATGCCCAGCAGAAAGTATGTGTATATATAAAACCCCAGGGCTGGAGGTGTAACTTAGCAGTAGAGCAGCTAGCATATGGGAAGCCCTGAGTTCAAATGCCAGTACTGGAAA